GTTGTTGCTTGTGGACGTACAGTTTAATGGTTCAGCTCCAAGGCAGTGAAATCTGCGTTTTTTCTTTTTGAAACACCTCGAAAAACTATGCTGTAGAAGAAATTGGTTCATTCATGAACTGGGTGTTACGTTCTTATGTTGAAAATTATCCAATGAATCGTATGTTTCAACTCAAGATGGGAATAAAAATCGTAGGACCAACCTCATCTTCTTTTTCTTCTGGTTCTCTACGTGCTACAGGAAGTTTCGTTATAGCATGTATAACGGAGTGATCAGTGCTGTTCTTGTCGCAATGCTGATATCTCGGCGAAGACTCATCAGAAAATGCTAGAAAACATTCTTAGAACGAATTCTTAGAAGTTGAAGGTCTCCATAACGAATAGACCTGGAAAGCTGCGGTTTGCGGCAAACCGGTAGAAGTAAGCTATATATTTCACCAAAGTAAATAATTAAGTTTAGGGAAAGTCATTTGAGCATATCCTGCGTCGCTTACATGCAATGACTCTTCAGCGATTTCGACTACTTCTCACTTTCGAAGACCGTGTTTGGCACAATGATAGTTTTGAATTTCAGGAGAGCAGAATAAAATACTATTTTGTTTTTCGTCTATTACAAGAAAATACTTTACAAATGAAATCTGACGATTTGTGTCTTTTGTTAAGTAGAACTTTTTTTCCGAACTCACAAGACATTAATGAGGGGCGTTTCTGTAGGAGGGTTTCTGAGCCAGAACGTGTAATCATTTTACAAATATAATAAATGCATCTCTTATTTAGCTCGGCGAATTTTTCATATCATGCACGGAATCACTTAATAAACTATTTAAATTTTCAAAGCCAAATATCATGTATTTACATTTGCTATGCACCAAACAGTTTTTGGAATATTTTCACAAATGACTTCAGCAGAATTTCTGCTTGTACAACGTCGTCATTCGACGTTCGGATATATCAAAGTAATTGGAAAGTACTATTTTAAGAAATATCAGGTGGAGACCTCTTTTTTCTTCGCGGTCCAACAAAGACTTTTCAGGAGTTTCCTTCAATTCAGCTGTAAAGAGCTCCGAATCTTCTTTTTAATGAGAGGCTGCGTAACTCTCCACGACGTTTGTTCAAGAAGTTATAACGTTTTGAAGTTCCCTAAATCGGCAACGCAATCTCGTTTCCGGTAGCAGAGCTAGCCGAAATGGTGTTTAGGAACGTTGTTTCGTTAGAGCAAACTATAGATGATCGTTAGGATTCAGATAGTGTTGTTCGACCTTTTCAAATGTAACGGAATTTCATTTTCTAGATTTTTGCACCCGCTATTTCGGCAACCATTGAATAGATAATGACGAAATTTTTACCGGAGGCGTAGATTCGAATAGCTTTCTATCAAACAAAATGTGAGCCTATTTCATTTAGTCTGTCAGACTTTACAGCCAAAGCGTAACGGAATTTCTAAAAATGGAAGTTATTTTCCAGGGCTTTTCGAACTTTGTTCTTTGCTCTGAACGGAGACATTCTGGGGAGAAGTGCTTGATGTGAAGTTTGTAGAGAGATGTTCAGCCTTTCACAATATCTATTTGGTTTTTTCTGTAGGTGCCTAGATCATATAAAAAAGGCAGAATACGTCCGTAACGGAATTGCATGCTGTTTTTCATGTTTACATACGGGAAGGTAAGTTTCTACAAGGAAGTCCTATTTGGAGAAATTTCGAGCTGTGCATCTTGTAGAGTAGCTGGAACAATTACGGACCGTACTAATTTAGAATTTCAAACTATTTGTCCTGCCTGTCTAGTCAATTAAGAATTTTGTCCTGCCTCTACTAATATAATTAAGAAAAATCCAATAATGTTTTTTCATCACTACTTGGATACACTTTCACATGTACTTCGTGAACATCGAGTACTGCCATTCATTGCATGGACTTTCTGTATAGCAGGAACGAATTCGATCTTTTGCTTTTAAGATGTTGTACGAATCATCACGTTTTCTCCGTTTTCTATATTTCTTCATTCTCAGCTGGTGATACTATTATACTGAACGAAAATGTATGGTTCGGTAAGGTTAATTTATCTAAAAGCGGAATTTACGCGAATAAACAAAGGTTGAGCGACAGAATTTATGGAAGTCGCAACCCATGTATTAGCCTAAAAACCGATTATCCTGGCCTACTAGCTCAAATCATCGTGCACTATATATCTAACCCTCAGTTACAATAACGATAACTGACTTTTCTGCAGCTTTTCGGATAAAAAGAAGTTCGAACAACATGAAATTCCGTTCCGCTCTATTTTAAAGTTTTCTTCTCAAAACTCAACTTAGAAGCAATAAAAGGTAATTCGTTCGATAGCGCTTGACGAGATCTGCTAAACCTGCATCTGTTTCTCTCAAAAAGCGACAAGAACCAGTACATAACACTTTTTGACAAAGTTCGCACAGAAAATCAGATAGTTTTAGAGCTTCTTTTACAGGCAGTTACAGAGATCGCAAAGATCACCAAATGAAAGGGCAGATCTTTTCCTATCTATAGATATCAAATTCTAGTATACATATCTTCGATTTAAGAATAAATAAGCAAAGAAAACAGACTGATGAGTCATCTGTGCTTTTCGCTTATTGGCTGAATATTTTGAACAGATCATTTTTGGCTCTTTTAGGATGTTTCAGTGCAAGATTAATATACTAGTTAACTCGCTCTGTCGCATGAATATATAGACTTTTATTAGTTGTACACATCAGCCTCCTGATCTGAGGGTGACCGTTAGCTGGACAAGCCGTGTTACAATTGAAAACTTGGATTTGATTTATAACAAGATAGACCAATCAATCATATATTCAGCACAGACTGAAACATTACTAATAAGCATAAGCTAGAGACAATACGACTGTAAAATTTATAGAACTCTGGAGTTCTGTAGAAGTTGATGATGGATTGCACTGTCCACCGGATATTTTAAAATGGCCGTGTTTTCCGTTTTTGAAGGCTGCACACACTATCGCCCTACCCTTTATCCATTTTATCTCTGAATGGTACCCTCTAATGCAAGTCAATACTTCTGAAACAAAACACTTCAAAATGGCAATGTCACAACCAAACTTTTTTCATCAATGCTGTATTGTATTTTGTTTTGTAGGGAGATTTGCTTCTTAATAGTTAATCAGAATCGAAACAGTGAGACTATATTTCTGTGGGCTATTATCTGCATGAGTAATAAAACAATAAAAAGATTTAAATAAAACATATACAACTGCATTTTTTTCACATGAAAAATGTGAAGTGAAAGGAAATAAATAAATACCACAAATATTTATGAATCCTTCCTACATGTATTCTTATGGATATTTGCTCTTATGTCATTATGAAAACACAATGACGATGCAACGGCTAGGTAAATAATGGCAGTTATATTTAATTCGACTGTATTTCTGTGGTGTTTTCCACCATAGATGTAAGAAAAATGACAAAATGTACACATATGAGTGAATTGCAACTTTTTGGTACAATTGACCCGAAAAAAAGAAAGTGAACCTAAACAACTTTTGAGTACTGCATTTTAGTCTGCTCTATGCCTGTAGTACACAGCAAAATTTTCCCGACACTTCATCAATTACTAAGGGAGATATACGCTGTAGAAATGTACAAGTTTTTATCGGCCGTAGAAGTCAAGACATTCTGATATTTTTTGAGGGTGAGGGTGAGGGTGTTGACTGGTTTTACAAACGATCTCTAAAAATCTAGTGTGATTTCCAAGAAATCATTTGGAAAACCGATTTTTCGGATTTTTTTGGAAACGTTTTGCTTATGAAAATATGCTCCTGGGTCTTGGCTATCAAACACTGAAAACCGCAGGTCTCTATCATATTCCTATCGAAAGTTATTCAAAAAATACTAGACTGCCTTGACTTCTGAAGCCGGTAACGGTGTTATTTGCTACTAATTAGGGCTTTAAGTAGATTTGCATGCATTTTAGTAGGAATAGGTTTCGAAAGCAACCTATAAATTATATTTTGAACATTGGTTTAAATTCGGGACACATTTTTATCTTTTACTATGCCTTCATACTAAATCACCAGATGGCTTTACCCTTTGAAAAGAATTAGATCGTTTTTTTCCAACTCTGTATATAGGATATGAAGTCGAGAAAAGACCACAATATACTCGGATTTATTTGTCGCATCTTGTTCATTTATATTATACTCGAAAAGAATATTTTTGAATGAATTCGACTAGAATATCTGCAGAAAATCGTCACTCTACATTTTTCAGTATATTGTAAATTTCTTCCGAAGGGTACAAGATCAAAGGCTCAAATTTTTACTACTTATAGAACTTTGTGTTTTATACTGGCTGTTAAAATTTGAGCTAAATCCGACAACTTGTTGAAGAGTTATAAACCAGACAATTTTCAAATCGTCACTCTACAAAGTGAGTAAAATTTCCTTTTTTCAGAAAGTTCTGTTATTTTTTTTCGGAAATAAACCTGATAAGAGAGAACCTTTTCCCATCAGTATCTTAGTTAAAGAGTTCTCTTTCTTTTCATCCAGTCTGTACACTACCAGCTCTATCACAGCCTGAGCTAGAACCATGTTTTCGTCTCTCTACACAAAAATGTACAAGTGTCTGTCAAACAATATGAATGATGAACGGGGGAACCAATGAGAATTATAACTAAAATCAGTTATATATTTCGATAGAGCATCGAAAGCTGTACAAAATAGATTAATTATCTATTATCCCTCTTGCCATTTTATAGTCGAAAAATTGCCTTTTTTTAGCACACATCATGAAAAAATGATGTTTTTTCGTAATCAATTTTTTATAACCCAGGGATAGTATGAGCTAATGAGGTGAAATTTTATATCGCAGTGGGGTGCTCAAAGGCGTATAACATATAAAAAAGTCGTTTAAATTGCTCTAGGCAAACAGAAGTTATTAGCTAAATACAGCTATAACTTCAATTGTACCAAAAAGTTGCAATTCACTCATATATATGTACAAGTACTTCTTCACATAGATCAAGCAAAATCGTCAGGATATTCATGGCGCAGTTCGGAGGTAGGGACAAACCTAGCATTCGCAATCTCCACGCGTTTAAATTGTTTACCAATATCGCTCACTGCACACAAGATCCCTATGATAGCACGTTTTTCCTCTTCATCTTCCATTGAAGTGAGTGCCACTGTATTAATATTCTCCTCCGCTACGTATCGTCGCGAAGAGTCACTGACCAAGACATGGTAAAATGGCTGAGATGGTCCACGTGGCAAATTTGAAATCTCCATATGCAGTTGCCACGCAGGTGGAGCCAGACAAGTAGGATCCCATCCACAGATGACGGCCCAGTAGTTGTACCGTCGATGCTGGAATATCTGGCCAGTCCGAAATGTGATGGAAGAATCGGGTAAACGCCGTTTTGGTTCGATCATTGGTGGATTTGAATCTTCATTTCGGATTCGGCGAAGGTCATCACTGGTTTCTGTAGTGACCGACGACAACGTCTCCAGGAAGTGGATATCCATGGGGAAGTATTGCTTGAAAGCGCTCATCATGGAATCAATGGCAAATGGCAGAGCGCCCCCTTCCAGTGTCTTGAGAACGGCCACAGCGGCGTATAGGCCGTGCGGATTAGATGGTGATGTAGGACGCCTGGTGAGACAGTTGATTATATTTCGAGCTGAGCGAATGACCAGTTCGACGATAGGAGTAATCGACAGAGGATGCGTGAGGGGTTCGTCAGTAACGTCCTCTAGGCGTTCATTGATTTCTTCCAGAGTAATGATTTTGCCTGCAAAGACACTGATGAGAAAGGAGACACTTTTATCAGAGAAGCAATTTACCTTCAAATACGCTAATCAAAAGCGGCATTCTCCGATCAGACGGATCATCTAAGGAAGAGGGCTGGTTCACTTGTGCCATAACTTCGCCTGGAAAGCCAACTGGCTGAGCTGTCAAACCACATTCTTCAGCCAACGCGCAAAAGATTGAGACAAGTGTGAGAGGAATTGTTGGTTTGCCGGCAAATGAGGACCCGAGGAAAGAATTTTCCAGGTCGTAATATTCATGCCCATCGTTCGCGGAAAGGAACTGCTCTTTCTTCATGGTGGCTAAGATGAACTCGCATTTTTCTGGTAAAGTAAGCGCTTCAAATGTTGGGACGTTGAGAAGTCGTTGTGCGATGGACTTGAGGCGATCCAGGGAGAGGTGGATCCCACGTGGATAGAAACACTGAATGGCAAAGAGTGCGTTGATCAGTGCCTTTCCTTCCGTGCGGATCTCTCCTCGATCCCTCAAGTCCTGCAGAAGAGACAGTCCGACTTCTCGAGAGATAAGCCCGGATATCTCCAATGAATAGTACTCTCGAGAGAGATCGCGTGATTCAAGGAATGCCGATCTGGACGAATTTTTCGACGTGTCAACGGGTGGTGGGAAGTACTGCTTGAGCACATCGAGAGCCACGAGACCGTATGTTGAGGAGATGAGTTCGGCATTTTGTAGTCCTACAAGATTTAAAAATTACTTATTCTTTGTCGCGGATTCGAACGCCACATATTATATAGCAAAAGTCGGTCACTAACCTAAACACCTGGCTACTCTGACGAAGGTTTTACTGGAAATACCCCCCCCCCCTTAATATAGTTCTCCTCCCCAAGTGGAAACGCTTCTTTTGTGTGCTCTCCAGCAAGAAAAGGCTCGCTAACATGAACGTTCACACTGCAAGAAGCGAGTTCTGTTGGCAACATTATCTTTGAAACCCGAAGAACTGTTCATTGTCTAGTTCGTTCAACCACTATTTTTTCTTCGAAAAGACACTAAGCTCGCGTAAAAGTACGATCTGCATTCTTGATAGGGTTTCAAATTTAGAGGCCATGGAATGATGTAGGAAACGCTAAACCTCTACGTTGGTAAAAGCTTACATGACTTCAGAGATGATGAAGTACGCAAAGCGAGTTCATAGGACCGTTTTCACTAGCTAATTCTAAAACTCCAGTCTGTGTGCTCGTAGAGAGCTAAAATCCAAATCGGATAGCAGGTATACAGACAGCATTTATGGGAAAATTAGGTCAACGGGGTAAAATTTTGTTTTTTTGATATTATGAAGGATTCTTGTATAGGAAACTCCGTATATTATCAAAATTCACTGGTTTATAATATTAGGGGGGTTTCCCTGTAATTCCGCAAATTCAAAAGAACGCTAGAGCCGAGCGCAATTCATGAGTAACTTACTGTTTGTGCGAGTAGACATGATTTCGTTGAGCAGGTGACGAATGTGCTTGTCTTTTTGAGATCTTTGTGCAAAATACTCTTGCCAGCTGGAGCCATCAGGAGGTTGGAGGAGTTTGAGAACAGACCCTGGCAGGTATTCTTCTTGTAACGATTGGATAGATATACGAGCTGGGTAAGTATACCTTGAAAAGATGAATGAATGAATCTGCAGTATGTTCAGCGTAACACTTCTACATTTGATTATCAGACAAATAAATGTACCTTGCAAGGAAGTGTTGACGCCATAGTTTATCATCGCGTGTGAGAGCATTCATTCGGCGGCATGTTCGCGATAGAGAAGAGGTGTCTTCGGGTGACAGGTAAGTGAGAATGGACCGAATCAATTCTGGTGGAAGGGAGTCAAGTGATGATGTCATTGTCAGACTCTATCGAAAAAAATTACATCTGGAATAGAAAAAGAAAATAAACGAAGAGTTCGCATGAAATCTGTGCAGGTTTGGTGACTTGGTAAAAAACAGCTTTTGGGTTCGATTTTTTTCTATTCTATTGCTTGTCTTTAGTATACTGGCAAAAAAACAGAATTTCAAAGCAACAGGAGGACGAACTGTCGAGTGATTGGCCGGATATTTTAAAGTGGATCTGTTCAGTCCTTCTGCTTTTTCAACTATTGAAGACGCCAGTTTCTCATTTTTAATCGATGGAACGGATAATCAGCTCCAGCCACATCTGTCTTTGTTCTATACCACATACACACAGTAGTCGGATCTAATAGTCAAAAGACAAAAAGTCTCTAGAAGCTAGACCTTAAAAAAAGATCTCTTGATTCTCCTTTGAAACGAAGAGATTCTAATCAAAACTTTTTGTATATGGAATCTCATCAGAGACTGCGAGTGTTGGCGGAAAAACATCGCGAAAAAGCCTGTAGCAAACTAGAATGTATCCAGGCTTCCAACAGTAAAGTCTCATGCTCTATATCCCGTTTTGAATCAACATATATCCCGATCAGGATATAGCCAAAAAACACATATCCCCAATCGGGATATAAATTCGATTTTTTAAGTAAAATTCATTTCAATTCATATCAAAAAATGGTGATATTCGCGGAAAGTTTTGACCATACCGCTGAATTGGGATATCATCCCGATTGGGATATCATTTTTTGCAGCAAAATTTTCTCTATATCCAGAACGGGATATAGTTTGAAATTATATCCTGATCAGGATTTAATTCGATATCCCGATCGGGATATCAAGAAAATTTATATCCCAATCAGGATATCAAGAATTTTAATTTTTAATTTGTTAGAAAATGATAAATTTTAATTATATGACAGCTAAATATTCTTCTCCTTTTTCTTTATTCCCCCTATCTAATATTCCTAGTAGTGTCTTTTGTTTTCTCCAGCTGATCGAAGAGACACATATATCTGTTTAACAGACGTAAATAGATTTCTTCTATTAGACATCCTTCATATGTGAGTGTAGTATAAAATATAATAGAAGATAGAAGATAAAGTCATTACCACGCACAGTTTCATCTACCATACATTTGTAACGTTCTTTTTTTCTTCGTCTTCTTATAACTATCAATAATTCACTTGATTCAATTATGCCTCCCAAAACATCAATGCAAAAACACCATACGGGTTCAATCGTTACAAAATTTAAGTCTGATAAATTGAAGCATGCTCCAGGAATATAAGGCAGTTTATCTGCAAGAACGGATAGTTAGAAAATTTCCCATTAAACACAAAGCACGTATATTTATATATTGTCGACGCATGAGAAAAGAATTGTTTCAATATATGTGGGCATCGAAAAGGAAGATCCGATGTAGTTTTTCGAGCTCTTTCGCATGGTGACGTCAGTTTTACCCCAAAATGTCGTAATTTTCCCCTTAATCGTTTTTACGACGAAATTTCATGTTTTATATCCCGATCGGGCTACTACTTTTTTTCTATATCTTGATCGGGATATATATTCCGATCAAGATATAGGAGGTGTCCCCTTACTGACTGGTGACTTATATGTTATGTTCTATATCACCTTTCCCCTGCAAGCACCACGTTAACTAGTTTTTGGTGGTTTTAAACTACGCCCCTACTGTAAGAAAACTATATCTCGCTTGGAATATACAAAACAGCAGATATCGCGATCGGGAGATCAAAAAAAATATCCCGATTCGGCTACAGTATCCGATCGGGATACATTTTCATATCCCAACTGGAATATATAGCTCGATCGGGATATATAGCTTGATGGGGATGTGGCTCCTCACTGTCCAGTGTTGCTTTCTATTTTCCAAAAGAGATCTCGAAATCGTCTTTATGAATAAAAAAACAGAAATAGGACAGCCTCAACAAAAAGAGAAGAACTACGACCGAAAGGGGCCACAAAGCTCTAACTACGAACAGACGAAGACGCATGAGTAGCTTTGGGATCAGGTAGTACATTTACGAAAAAGATTTGTACTAAACAATGGGTTTTCTCAAAAAGATGATGAGTAAAAGTGTCGAGGGAGAAAGAAAAGGAGAAGGCCGACTAAAAGATGATTGGGAGCTATGTGGACATTTACTCGAGGCATAAATACCCAGAAACTACCGAAAAACTGTCGAGAGATATATTAGTTCGCCAAAAAGAGAACAGGATTCGTCCCGTTCAATAAAAACGCAGAAAAAGTGAAAGAGTAAAATCCAACGAGAAATATCCAAAAAAAGTATACGTGTAAATATAAAGCAAAAGATGTCGCTTTCAAACATCTATCACGATAGGCTGAAACTTCATGAATCAGTTTCAAGTAGTCCAAAATAGGTCGAGTCCAGGCGGAGGGTGTGAAAAGTTCGATAAAACTGGCGGAAAGTTGGAAATCTGTGGGTCCTAGAAGCCTGGGACGCTTACGAAAATGTTCATAAAAGTGTGAAAAAAAATAAAAAGACTCGGGAAAAATGTCAGATCTCTTATATGAGTCATGTGATTGCCTCCTCAGTGCCTGCAAAAATGCTTCTGTTCAAAAAATAAGCAAGACCTCTAGAGGAATAAAACGGCAGTTTGTGGAAAAGTTTAGCAAAGTGACTGTATACAATACATTTTACCATTGCGCATAGTAAACGTCAATTAATCGTTAGTTAATAGAATTCTTTCTTTCGCCAAGAAAAGACAATCATACAAAAGACAAAGTTTTGTCTTTCTCCACTTACACCACGTATAGATAAGAAAATCACGTTGCTAGAACTATGACAAAAGTCATTTCTTTCTTTTGAAAGTAAATTTTTTCCTTTCTCACGTGTTTTTCTCTT